TTCTAGCTACTGACCGATACTGGTCCCTTATTTTTGGAAGAGATTATTGCTCCTATTCCTGTATATATGTACTCGGCTCCCGTTTGATGAATACAGTGAGAAGTAGATTGCTCATTTAATACATGGTATTAGAGCTAACTGCTTCTGCAAACTTTTTTGACGCCAAGCACGAGTTAGAAAGCATTGCAAACGAGTTGTATCCCAGTCGCCCGTCTTCACCAATGACGCAGAGTGATGGGTCCTCACTGTATGATTTGAATAAGGTTGGTGGTCCCTCTGGGTTGACTATTAACCACGATGGATCTTCGATGCAAATCGTGACTGTGAAGCTAAAGGGCGACAACTATCGCACATGGGCACAAGCCGTGAAACTCGCTGTTGGAGGTAGAGATAAGATGGGTCATCTGGATGGCTTGTCCAGAATCCTAGATGAAACCAAACTCGATGAAAGGCAATGTTGGTGTACCAATGATTCTCTGGTCTTATCGTGGCTCATTAATGCGATGACACCTAAAGTCCAGCAGAGTTTTATGCTCTTACCTTCTGCGCATGAGATATAGGTGGCTGTGCGAGACTCTTATTTAGGTGGAAAAGACTTGGCATGCCTTTATGAACTCAAAACAAAGACATGGACGGTTCAATAAGGTGAATGAGATGTTACTGCATTCTGGTTGGAGCTCACTGCATTATGGCAAGAACTCGATCTAACAACTGAGGTGGAGTGGTCAAATGCTGCTAATACGACTTGTTATAAGGAGCAACTTAACAATGAATGTGTTTTTCAATTCTTGACTGGGTTACATCAATCTCTAGATGACGTACATAGACGTGTTCTCAGCAAATCGCCATTACCTTCAACGAGAGAAGTTTTCTCCAAAGTACGCCGAGAGGCTTCACAAAGTAAGGTGATGGTCCCTAGTACAGTTCTCAATTCTTTACCATCCCTAGACTCTACTGTACTTGTTAGTAAAGGTATAGATTATAGAAGCCAAAAAGGGAAGACTTAGTGTGAACATGGCAAGAAACAAGGGCATACTCATGAGACTTGTTGGGAATTACATGGGAAGCCAACAGATTGGAAAACTAGAAGGGGAAAGATGTGAGGATATCATACTTCTCATGACACTCCACAAGAGAAGACTGACTCAAATTCATTACCTCTGATAAACAAAGAATAGCTAGGTAAGTTAATTGAAATGCTTGATGTGATTCAAAAGGTTGAACCAAATCAGAAGCAAGGTCACACTGCATCAATGGCGCACAAAGGTAACTGTGCTTTACTTACTACTTTTAGTAATTTCAAGTAAATTATTGATACTGGAGCCACTGATCATATGACATCAGATTCTAAGTTATTTAGTTCCTATACACCTTGTGCTGGGCATGAAACTGTCAGTACTGCTAATGGGTCTGCCTCATCTATAGCGGGTAAAGGGAACGTTATTATTTCTGATGTCATGAAATTAGAAGACATACTTCATGTACCTTACCTAGCATGCAACTTGTTGTCTATTAGTAGATTGACAAAACAAGCTCAGTGTTGGGCTCATTTTTGTGCTACCTATTGTATTTTTCAGGACCTCTTATCAGGGACGATGATTGGCAGTGCTAAGGAGCATAATGGTCTCTACTATCTTGACAAATCAACCGTGAGTAATCTTTAGTCTAGAGTCCGGTGCAATATTGCATCTACCTCTGAGAATAAGGACTTTAACGATCTTATGTTATGGCATAGGAGAATGGGTCATCCAAACTTTCAATATTTATGTTATTTGTTTCTTGAATTTCATAAGTTGTCTTCCTTTCAGTGTACTGATTGTGAACTTGGTAAACATCAAAGATCTAGTTACAAATCTTTTGAATATAAATCTTCTCGTCCTTTTTCCATTATTCATAGTGATGTGTGGGGCCCTACTCGTGTTCCTAATCGTACTTATGCCAAATGGTTTGTTACCTTCATTGACAACCATACTAGATTATGTTGGGTTTACTTATTACATGATAAATCTGGTGTTTCCACTATTTTTTTTGAATTTTATACCATGATCAAAACTCAGTTTGACACCACAATCCAAGTACTTCATACAGATAATAGAACTAAATATTGCAATAAGTCTATGTATCTTTTCTTAAAAACCCATGGCATCATTCATAAGAGTACATGTCCCAACACCCCACAACAAAATAGTATTGCTGAACGAAAAAATAGATACATATTGGAAGTTGCTCATGCTATCATGTTTACACATAATGTCCCTAAATATTTTTGGGGTGATGCAATACTCATTGCAACTTACTTGATAAATTGCATGCCTAGCCAGTCTTGTCTCATGTTACCCTACTTGATAAGTTGAAAGAATCTCACTCTATCCCTCACCTTGAAACTCATCTTTCTCTTAAAATCTTTGGTTGTATAGCATTTGTCCACTCTCATCATTCCTACAAATTGGATCCAAAAGCTGTCAAATGTATTTTCCTTGGTTATTCCTCCACTCAAAAAGGGTATAAATATTTTGATTCCTCATCCAAGAAATTATATATCAACCGTGATGTCACATTCTTCGAATCTGTTCCTTTTTTCCCAAATCCTCCAATTCAGGGGGAGAAGGGGAGTGAATTTTAGTATTTGGGGAGTCAGGAAAACCAAGAAAATATTTTTGAACTGTCAGAACTACCTGACTCGCCTGAACTTATTCCAGACCAGCCAAAACAGCCTCAAAACTGTTTTGAACCTCTTGATTCAAACATACTTGCACCTGAAACTTGAACTTCTAGGCCAAAAACTGAAGTGAAAAGTCCTTTAAAGAGTAACAGTAATGTAGGTACAGCACTAGAAAAAGAACTCATAACTTACTCAAGGAAAAAGAGGCGAGATGTAGAGGTTGTCATGCCAATAGCACTACCAAATTCAGAACTGATAGAGGTCCCTAAAGGTGAGATTATGGAAAATAACTAACCAGAAGTGAAAGGTATAGTTGAAAAGAAGGAGATAGATGATCTAGATCTACTTATTGCTCTTAGAAGGCAACTGAGATCATGTACTCAGCACCCTATCGAAAGTTTTGTAAGTTACCGTGCTCTATCTCCCTAATTTCGTGCATTTGAGGCTAATCTTGATACAATGAAGATTCCCTGTGATGTATATGAAGCTTTGAGCATACCAGAATGGAGAGCTGCTATTATGGAGGAGATGAAAGCTCTAGAAAAGAATGAAACATGGGATATAGTAGAGTTGCCCAAGGAAAAAAGAGCAGTAGGGTGTAAATAGATTTTTACTCCAAAATATGATTCCATAGGTGCCTTAGACAAACTAAAAGCAAGATTAGTGGCACGAGATTTTACACAAACATATGGCTTAGACTATAAGGAGACATTTGCTCCTGTAGCTAAGTTAAATACAATCAGAATTCTGTTTTCTGTAGCGGTAAATCTTGAATGGCCACTATATCAACTAGACAAAAAAAATGCTTTTTTGAATGGAGATCTCAAAGAAGAAGTCTATATGAGTTTACCTCCAGGTTTCAGCACAGGGCACATAAATCGAGTATGTAAACTAAAGAGATCACTCTATGGCTTAAAACAATCCCCACGTGCATGGTTTGATAGATTTTCAAAAGTATTGAAAGCTGAAGGGTACAAGCAGGGTCTCTCAGATCACACCATGTTTGTGATAATGGAAAATGGTAAGAGGTGTATTCTCATAGTATATGTGGATGATATAATCATTACAGGAGATTATGAAGAGGAGATTAGGAGAGTGAAAAATGCTTTAAGTAAAAAGTTTGAAGTAAAGGATCTTGGCCACTTAAAATATTTTTTGGGAATGGAAGTTGTAAGGTTGAAACAGGGGCTCTATATGTCTCAGAGGAAATATATCCTCGATCTACTAATGGAAACAGGTATGTTGGGGTGCAGACTTGTAGATACGCCAATTGTAGTGAAGAAGGTAGCCCAAAGAGGAAAAAGAAAGTGAAGAATCAGATGAGGAACTTGAGGAAGAGTTAGAAGAGAATAAAGAAGATGAGCCTGCAGACAAGGAGAGATATCAAAGGTTGGTAGGGAAATTGATCTATCTTTCTCACACTAGACCTGATATAGCTTTTGCTGTAAGTGTTGCTAGCCAGTATATGTGTGATCCAAGAAAGAGCCACATGGATGCTGCATATAAAATTCTAAGGTATCTCTAAAGGGTACACATAGAAAAGGTTTATTTTTCAAAAAGCAAGAGCAAAGATTAATAGAAGTTTACTTGGATGCAGACTAGGGAGGAACCTATAAGGATAGAAGATCAACTTCAGGTTATTGCTCATTTGTGTGGGGAAATCTTGTTATCTGGAAAAGCCAGAAGCAGAGGGTAGTTTCTAAAAGCAGTGCTGAGTCTGAACTAAGATCTCTCTCCCAAGGCATCTCAGAAGGATTGTGGATAAGACGTGTAATAGAGGAGATACGTGTCAAGGTTGATCCACCAGTGAAACTTTATTATGACAACAAGGCTACAATAAGTATGGCTTTGAATCCAGTTCAGCATGAAAGATCCAAGCACATGGAGATAGACAGGCATTTCATAAGGGAAAAGGTGGAAGGCGGTGTAGTATGTCTTATATACCTCCCTATAAAGCTACAGGCTGCAGAAGTACTGATTAAAGGCCTACATGGACCTGCATTTAATAGTTGTATGTGCAAGTTGGACATGACTGACATCTATGCTCCAACTTGAGGGAGAATGTGATCAGACCATGTAATTATGAGATAATTATGTGTAAATATTTCTTTTAATATTCATTATCCTAAGAGATTAGGTAGGATCTGTCTTTAATTAGATATTACCTTTCTTTTAACTACTGACCAATACTGGTTCCTTATTTTTTGGAGGGATTATTGCTCCTATTCCTGTATATATGTACTCAGCTCCCGCTTGATGAATACAGTGAGAAGCAGATTGCTCATTTACTACACTTCATGACTTCATCTCAATAAGCAAACATCATTAGAACATCTGCTTTGACAGCCCCAAAAGGAAAATGGTACTTATTGCTGACAGAATTAATGAATCATAAAATGCATAACATTTACAGAACTGAGCAAATAACTGAAGAAAATCTTCTTTTAAAAGTCAAAACCCCAACTTTTGTATCATCCCTTTTCCCTCTTTGCTCCTTCCGATCAATAAGCACTTTTATCTCAAGAAAAAGTTATTTTTGTACAGATTATTCACATTTCCTGTGTTCCTTTACATAACTTAAGACCATGAGTACATTCCTTGTGCTTTGTTTATTTTGTCTTTCCTCCCTACGAAAAAAGATCTCACTTTGTGTCTTTGGATGATCTCTTGCCACGAGAAAGTCTTGCAAACTAGGCTCATCCCCCACCTTCGATTAATCTTATATCCTCCGAACCAAAGTTCATCTGAAGGTAAGAGTGAAAAAGAGAAGAAAGGTGAAACCTTTATCTCTCTCTCTCTTCATTTCACTTGAAGTCACTTTAGATGATCCTCTTCAGCCCCTTCAAATTCAAGTTGTGAGGAAACTGTTGTGTCTGAGGCGGCGTCATCGATGCTTAAGTTAGAGATTTCACCGCCAAGGGAGGAGATATCATCGTCGCCGTTGACTGATGGGGCGGGTGAGGCATCAGGAGTGTTGGTGATGGTGGTAGCTGGTGAAGGGAATGAGTCTGCATCTTCGCCTGACTGTTGCAGACTCCAGTACATGATGCTGGCTGCAAGAGTGAGAATCATCTTCTGATTAACCTGTACTAAGATCAAGAAAACATTACAAACCTTTGTCAATAAATCAAGGTCACGGGAAGATATTAGGAAAGTTAACTCTTTAGAGATTTTAAAAATCAAACTTCTTTTGGAAGACCAAAGTAAGTCACTCAAAAAAGTTTTTCAAAGTAGCTGCAATTTAATTCCAATATGAACTTGTTATTTTAAGCAGCAGTAGTAGAAAATTTGAGACACATCAGTAAATTTTGGGAAATAGAAGTGATAACTTTCGATCCTCCATATAAAAGGAAGTGAGAAACAGCCCAAAAAACATGAAGGCAGACAGAGAACTGGCCAGGCCCACTCACATGACCTGGACCCAGAAAACCCATCCCCCCTTTTTGGTACTAAAAAGCACAAAAAAGAAAAGTAAAAAAAAAGGAATTAAAAAAAAAACATTCCCCCTTTACTAGGGTGAATTGAGTTTGATTACAACCCAAATGATCTCTAATTGAAATGGATGTGATGCTTGTCAGATGAAAGGCAACGGTGCCGTGCTTTCTACTTTGTTCAAGCAAGAGAAAATGCGAGGAAAAAATGAAGTACCAACCAACTAAGAGTCAATTAAAACACATTAAATAGGATTTGCGGTGGGTGATGATGAGATTCACTTTAAAGAATTTGTCACCTAGTGATGCAAGGAATGACTTGAGAATTTCTCTGCATGCACTTCCTAATATTTGGAAGCTGTTGATAGCAGAACCAATCTGGGAGAAAACATACCTCCATAATGTCCTCAGGCAACAAAAAGATGGAACAACCTAGCTTTCGAGCAACACTGATTGTATAGGTAGCATTCAACTTCTTCTCATCATCTAAATTTTCAACAATAGAAGTGCAAGACCATAATCAAGATTCGAGGTTGCTATAAACACTATCATATAATGTACAAATAAAATGAAAAATGGCCAGCTTTGCAAGAAATCATACCACTTGCACCCTTTGTAACAAGATTCCAATTGACAACCCTCGGCTCTACAGCACTGAGAAGCTCAAGAAAAAAGATTCCACTTGACAAGCTCTTATCCTGTGACCAACAGCACCCCAGAATGATCACAAATAAATAATCACATATTAGAGTGAAGGATATGATTTCTGAAAATTAGAAACAAAAATTATCCTAAAAACCTTAAAACTCTCAATGTGGGAAGTTCTCCCGGTACTTTTCACTTTTCTATTTGCCCATTTCAGGATATCAGCATCAGAGATCTCCCTTCCTTGGGAATGAGATCTCAAATTTTTCAGTAGTTGAAGCATAGTGAATCTCATCAATTGCCACAAGAAGGCTGAAAAAAATATATAAAATTAAAAGATTTTAGAGAATATGTTAGGCGCCACATGAAAGTGAACTTCACTCAAAGATTGAATATAGCAAAATTTATACAACAGTGCTAAAAAATAATGGGCTCAAAACTTGAGACACAAAAAAGAATGAGACGCCATAAAAGATATTAATCATATTCAGGAAAATATTGTCCATGATTCCATGAATTTAATTAACTTTGAGAAGAAAGGATTACCAAGAATTAGCTTCTTATTTCCTTGCACAATATCATTGCCAGCTACATTAACTAGTGAAAACCTCAGTTGCTTCCCAATTTTTATGACCTGATTGCAGTTCTCTACTTTTCTAAATGGCATCTTAATTGGAGGTCTTGTTGCGTGTTTCCAGTTAACTGAACCTGAAGAAATCTTGTCTAACACCTCCAGAAGTATCCATCTGTTTTGTGAAAGAAAAAATAAATAAATAAATAAAAAGGCATTTAAGAATTTGGTGATATTATATTCTTAATTTGGATATCGCAATTCCTATGAATTTCCTGGCTGTCAAAAAAGAAGTAAAGTTGATCTTCTGTAAAGTAATAGTAATTGATTTCCATTAGATTTGGAGATATCATAAAGACAAATACCTATTAGGTGGTTGATTTCCATAAGATTAGGAGATATCATAAAAATATGATGATTTGATTTTGACTAAAGATAGCTTAGAAGAAGGAATACATACCCATTTCTGACATCCTCAAATACATTATTTACATAAGTCCCAATACCAAGACTATTGATCCACAGCCTGAAGCATCTCTCTTCTCTAGATGTTTGCACATCATCTGTCATCATCTCAGCATAAGATATCTTTTTGTTGTCCGTAGATAAGCCACTCCTGCATTATGTATGCCCCTAATTAACCATAACATTGACAGTTAAAGAAAGGGAAATAATTAGAAAACACCACTAAACCAAACTCCAAATATTTGGGGTTCTTAGGTCATCAATGGAGATTATGTTAGTATAAAATGCTTAATAGTATGGCTATTCTCTGGGGTACTATAGGGGGTTGATTTTCTCACTTGAACAGCTAATTTTTACGAGGGTGCTCTTAACCTCACTTGAGTTCCTGTCAATGGGTGGCTGGGACACTAAGAGAAGGCTGGCCAAAGCAGGGAGGGCAATTTTGGAGGAGTTTCTGGGAGAGTTCTGGCCTCATGGAAGCCAGAATCTTTTTCTTCATCTTTCTTGTTTCTTCTCGGTTGCCAGGTTGTTTTTGGAGCTGGGTTTTGATTTGTACGAATTCTGGAAAATTTTTTAGCATTATGAAACCTGAATTTGCCGACCCCACCTAGTGGGACAAGGCTTGTTATTGTTGTATGAAACCTGAACTTCTAATAATCTTATTTATACTTTCGCCGCTTGGGTGGTCTCTTTGGGTGTGGACTGTAAGGAAATCCTATCATATTTCATCTCAAGAGACAGCTGCACAGCGTCATGCTTCCATGTCTTTGTTTCTCCATGCACACAAACAAAAACAGCATGTTCTTCAAGAGAACCAATCATGAAAGTACTTGATTCTAGATGGATACTCCATGTGTAAGGTAGAACATGCCTGCAGCTTACCCTAACTGAAAAGTTTTTTAAACAACGAATTATGCAGCATATTTCTAACCTCTGGTGAAATATTTGGGCCACAAATGCAAGATTCAGGTTTGAGTAACCCTCCACAATGTCCTTGGGTGTCAAGTATCTTTTGCAGCCCATTCTTTCTGCATGATCAAGCACCATTTCTGCCCTTTCAATGAGATCCTTAGTATCCAAGGTGGATGGATTGCAATGTTCAGGAGCGAGGACATTAAGTAGATATGCATAAGCTCTTCCATCCTGTAAATATAAGACCAGAGATAAAAGGAAAGTCAGTTGTGAATACCTTGATTCAATTTCAAATTATTAAAGTTAAAACGCCCATGACATGTTGGATTTTAAGCCTATAACTAATAAGAAAGAATGGGGAAAAAATAGGATGGATGGACATGTAGAATGATGGTGAATTTCTGAAAGAATCAGCATAAGAAAATTTCTCTTAATAAATGATCTCTTAAAACTACCATATATACATATTTACATGCAGATAAACGTTTCACCATTCAATCAAACACTCAATGTCATTTATTAGTCAAGTCAGTTTAAAATATCACCTTCAATGCCAAGGTTAATAGAGAACCAGTAGGGTACCTTCACATCAGAAGAAAAATTTTTAACAGTTTTATCGTACCCTCCTCTCTGGAGATGAAAATTCATCCACTTGAGTAGAACCTTTTCAGGGGGCAAACTAAGAAGCTCTTCAACCTCCTGAGGCAAAAGGTTAAGTATGTAATCAGTTAGAAGAAACAGAATATATCATAATTAAACATTAGATGTTTTTATTGAATCAAAATTCCAATAAAACCTTCAACAAAAAAGCAGAGAAGAGTGTCCATATCATCACCTGGCTGTCCTCAACCAATTCGACAAGCTGAGGTGTCTTCTTAAGGTTCAGATCTGCCAATAATTGGATCTGAAATTTCCAAAAGAGTGAGAGAGAGGATAATAGGAAAATGATCAAGTAATCATTTTTTAAAGCCTATATAATATCAGGCCCTATAAAATTAACTCATTCTCAGATTATGGCAAAACTTAGATAAGTAAACTTAAAGCAAATGAATACTATATGAAACTCAAGCGTATATACCTTTATGATCTGGGAAATCAGCCCTAAAACAAGATGGGGCTGCAATGCAAACAACCAAACGATAATGTTACTAATGCTTGAAATTAGAAGTTAAAAGGCTTCTGCACAAAAATAAAAATAAATAATCTGAGCACCAGAAAAGTCAATCATTAAAGATAGTCGGGAGCCCAGCTGGCTAAGACTCACTCTTCCTTCAACAAGGTCCTGCGTGCCAATGTTAACTACAGTGCAGCCTATAGCCTTGGCAGAATTGAGGCAGAGAGTATGATTCTCATTCCTTTCCCAGAGATTAAGAATTTTTTTGGCATTGATGGCTCGCTCGTCTATAGTCCCAGGCACAGCAACATTGATAAGTTTACTGCATCATGCATGGTATATGCAAAGTGAGTATATACTAAAGGATTTATGACAAAGTAAGCAATGCATAATCCAGCAGACCCTTCTTATAAATATACCACAGAAGAACTCCATCTTTTGCAAGATCAACTAAATCATTGGTAGCTGGGTCTAAAGGAAGATACTGACTCAGAAACGGATCATCACCAAGGTAACTGTTTATGTGAGCAACATAAGATGCCTTTTCTGATTCACTGATGGTGTGAAGAAGGGTAGTTGTAGTTGCCTTAAGGAATGACGAAGAGTTTTTCGTAACACCCTTTTTTGATGTAGCTAGGCTTTGCAAATTCAAATACACCTGCATAACAAATGCAATGAGTGAGTTAAAATTAAAGTTTTAGCGTGGAAACTCCTACATTAATTAAAACAACAACTTAAACGTAACATACCACTGACTCACCATTAAGAAAGATTCAAAATCAATCTCATCGGTCATGTCAGGGCTTTTTTCACCCAAGATCCCCTCAATCTCCTTCTCAGTGTACATTTCTTTAAATGCTTTTAAATTGACCATTAGAGGTGGCAAGTCTCCATATGTAACTTTGGCATTCTGATTTTTTAATGCCATAAACTACAGAACAAGAAAGAAAGGCCGCATGAATCACAAACAGAACCACGTAATGCATCATGTTTAAATATGAAATCCAATACACACACACACACACACACATCCAAATATTGTGGTGCCCTTACTTTTGATTTCAGGCTGCGAAGTTCAACCTGCGTAAACTGACTTTGGAGCCATTGATCGGACACGATAACACCCACAAAATTCGACATCTCCGTGTATTACCAACGAAGAATATGGGCCAATCAAGGATACGAAGTTTACCCCAAACTAGTAAACTCCGAGAGAAGACAAAAAAGATTCGTGAAATGGAGAGTTTGTACTATACAAAAACCTGATACCAGATCCAGTCATACACGTTCAGATTCAAATATTCGTGAAGATATAATAACAATGTAGAATCCATAGCCAAGCATGAAGTTGTTTTGATCTTGCAAGTTACCAGCCTGTCCAGCGTAACCTAACACAGAGCACGGACAAAAGAAAAGCTAATTTAAGGAGAAAGAAAATAACAAGGATAACTGATACACAAAGAAGGAAAAAAACAATGGTGGAAGTTCGTTAGTTAGATTAGTTATTGAAAGACCAGACTCAATATACAAGAAAACAAACGACCCGCAAAACATTCCCATCAAGAATAGGAACCAAAATGCTCGGTATCCGATAATTATCTCCCAACTAACATTATTTACAATGCTGTGAAGAACACAATGAAACCTGAATAAATTGATTAACAGCTAAGCAAAACTCAACATTGTGCGAACATTTTTTCTAATGAAATAAGTTCACAACGGATCAGTCAAAAACAACAAGAAGAACATACACCTATAAAAATCCGAGATGCAAGCTATCTGTTCAACTACCTTCATTAATTCAATAGTAGCACATTGAATGTGGAAAGATGAAGAGGCAGAAGAGAGTGAGAAACGGAGGGGGAGAGAGAGAGGATCGAATTTTCTTCGTGAGAGAGCAAAGTGCGAGAAAAGGACGTCGCGGAAGCAAAATTTTTGTTGGGGACCCCAGCACCGACTGTGACTGTGAGGAGATCTATTTCTTCATTTCACATCGATTTTTGTTTCGCTTATCGAAGACGCGAGAGTATAGAAAATTTCCGTACTCGCCCTAGGATTCTTACAGCTCATCCTCTTTTGTGTACACCTTTTTGGTCTCGTCTGCAACCGATTTGTCATGATCCGAACTTCCGTGGGTCTCTCCACTTCCTTTTTCTCCATTTCCCTCCACTTTCTCCATTCTCATCATTCATTAATTTTATCATTTAAAAAATTATTTAATAAAAAAATTTGAATGGTGGGGATGGAGAAAGTGGAGGGAAAGGGAGGGGAAAAAGTGGAGAGACCCTGGTCCACTTCCTTTTCGGGGTCGTAGGTGAGCAATTTAATGAAATTACTCTTGTCATTCGCGCAAATCATGTTCAGATTAGGAAGAATGACTCCGAGCTTTAATTCAACTTATTTGCTTTTGAAATATAATTATTATCTTTTTTAAAAATATTCTTATTAATAAATGACTTTATATTTATTATAAAATATTTAATATGAATAAATATAGAAAGATATGGTTAGTTTAAAAGCAAGTAACTATTTTATTGAGGGAAGAAATTTGGTTAAAAATGCATTATATATTTAAACGGAGGGAGTAAGTCTCAAACTTTGAAAATTTATAAATTTATCTCTTAATTTTATAATTTTATTGTAATAAATTTATATTTTTTAAAATTTTAATATGATTAATCTTTTACTAAAATTTAAAACACAAATTGTAAATTCAACATAATGAAATTATAAAATTGAAAGTCAAACTTACAAATTATTAAATTTAAAAATTAGAATATAAATTGAATTAGAAACCTCTCTATCATTCTCCCTTTGAAAAAAAGAAAATAAAAATTCATAATTTACAATATTTATAAAAAAAATTATGGTTTCTTAATTGTTATAATTTTAATTTAATTATAATTCAATTCCTAAATTTTGACTCTATGCAACTCAATGCCTATAATTTTAAGCATTTAAAATAGTAGCCATATATTTTAGAAAATAAAATTATAAAATTTAAAATTAATTTAGAATTTTAATCCTTATAATCTTTATAAAGATTAAAATTTTTAGTAATTTAAAATATATGTTTATATAGATTTTAAAATAATTTTAATATTTTTAATTTTAATTTTTAAAATATAAAAATTAATATTGTAAATTGTTAAAACTATAGAGATTGAGTTGCACTAAATTAAAATTCAAGAATTTAATTATAACCAAGTCAAAATTATAAAAATTGAATCATAACAAGTCAAATTTCATATATTAAGTTACAATTGAGTTAATATTAAAAAATTAAATGATTAATTTCTTAAAAAAATTAGAATTATAATTGTAGAACAGTAGAACTATCATTATGCAGTTGCCCAACATGAACAGTGAACCAGGTAAAGACACAGCACACCTTCCTTAAAAATCAATATATCAATATAAAAATATATATTTATTTGTATGATAATAATTGAAAAAGACATACTTATCTTGAAGCAAAATAAAGTAATAATAATTGACCCACAATGGTTTCCTAGAGCATTTAGATTTTTTTTTTGGTTATTTGTTCTCATAATGTTTCAAATGGTAATCATGCAATTTAAATATAAAAAAATTGTCATCAGATAGAAATAAATGTTTGTGTAATGATATTCAATACCATTAAGTTAAATTTGAATATTATTCATCCCTAATTAAAGGTGGCTTTTTCAAAAATATCTCTTATGCATTTACACAAAACTCAAACTATACTCTTTTCATTTAAAAATATAAAATATTTTTGAGAAGTTGTATGTTTAAAAATGTAAGACATTTTTATTCTTTTAGGGTGTAATCATTACCCTTTTTTAAAAAATATCCCTATTGATGAATGACTTTTTATTTATTATAAGGTATTTTATAAAGGTAAATATAAAAAAAATAGAGTTAATTAGAAAATAAGTAACAACTTTATTAGGGTGAGATTTAATTAAAAATGCCTTATATTTTTTAACAGATGAAATATATATATATATATATATATATAATATTAAATTATAATATGATGAGTTGGGAAGAATATGACACAACTTAAACTGTAATATAGAGTTGATTAATAATTAAAAATACATACTTATCTCAAAACAAAATAAAATAATAATAACTGAACATTTTACATTAAACGTCATGGGCTTTTTTTCGTTTACAAGTTTTTGTTCTAATAACGTGAAATTTTAAACATAAATAATAGTTTTATAGAAAGTAATAAAGGATTTTTATATGTTTAAATTAAGAAAATCTCCTTGCCTGCGAGGAAAATATGTGCGATGGGAAAAAAAAAAGCATTATTCTATTTTCAAAATAAAGTTGTACTTCTCTCAATTTTTATTATAGGATATTTTCAACCATTTTATATATATTAAAAAAGTTCATCTTTTTATATTATAAAAAAGTGAGAAGTATTTTCATTTTTATCCTTTGCTTTAAATAATAATATAACTACATTAAATATATTTATGTTAATCAATAAGAAGTGAAATTAAAAAAAGTAATTTAATTATTATAAGATGTTATATATTTTAAATTAAAAATTACTTATTAAAGATATTTTATAAATAAGACTTAAAAAATAGTTTTTTATAAAAAAATAAAAAATAGCTCTCTCAAAATAGGGAAAGTTTCACTGCAAACCCTAGAACAGAAATAATAAAAAAGATAACCCTTAAATTTTTGAAATTTCATTGCAAGTTTAGGATACTGAATTAAAACCAAAATTCTTTAGGAAATGACAAGATTGTCCCTCTTAAAATTCTTTAGCATGACTTGTTTGTGTCCTTACTGTATGTTATTCATTATCATTTAAATTGTTATTCATTGTCCTATTTCACTTATTTATTATAATACTTTTACTTGAATTAATTTCAAGTATTACTTTTATGTTAGTAGGATTTGCTCATGTCCCTACTGTTTGTAGTTCGTTACCCTTCAAACTGTTGTCCATTGTGCTCCTTCATTTGTTCATTATAACATTTTTACTTGAATTAATTTCAAGTATTGCTTTCATGTTAGCACGATTTGTTCATGTTCCTACTATTTGTAGTTCATTATCTTTGAAATTGTTATTCATTGCCTTGTTTTACTTGTTCATTACAACACTTTCACTTAAATTAATTTCAAATGTTGCTTTCGTGTTAGCACGACTTATTCATGTCTTTACTATATGCTGTTCATTATCCTTCAAACTATTATTTTTTTTTTATTTCACTTATTTATAGTCCTAAATATTTATAGTTCATTTTTTTCTGTTAAATTTCTTTTCTCTTTCAATATTGATAATGTTGCCATATCTTAGAGAATTTTAATTTCAGTTCAGTACCCTAAACTTATAGTGAAGTTTTAGAAATTCAAATATTCTCTTTTTTTATCTCTTATCCAGGGTCTTCAATGAAATTTTCCTCTCGAAATAAGTTGGATATTGTGGGTAGATGTATCTGTTTTGCTCAACTGTCAGAATAGCCATTGATCTTTGATAATAGAACAGTAAAATACTAATAATTAGTCATATCTTGTGATATAGTTCAAAAAGCATGTGAGCTAAAAGAAGTTATGGCTTATGGCACGTTAAAGCAATTATTAATTAATTTAAAAAATACTAATATAGTAGCATGCGCGAAACAAAATTTTCAAGCAAGTCATGGATTGGTTTGTTTATAGCTTAGCTTATAGCTCGAGAAATGAAGAGTTTCTTTAAATGTTTATGGGCATTCGAGTTTTGGCTTATATTTTCTTTTGGGACACGCACACACCTGTCTCGGCTTAGATTAAATGAGAACGCTTAATCAATAATCAATAAGTAATAAGATATTACGTTGCTTAAGAATGAGGGTAAAATTACCACTCTTTACTAGACTAGAGGAAAAAAGGAGAAAGCAATTGAAATGTATGCTTCCATCGGTTTATAAAAATTATCATTTTTGTGCTTTTTATTATTGTAAAAAATATTTTCTGTTTTAGAATTTTAATAAAGCTTTAATTACTTTTTTTTACTATCTTACTTATATGAACAAAATTGTGAGAATATTAAGTAAGGGTATTTAGGTCATATTAACTAACATTTGGCAAAATAAATATTTCGAGTTGGAAATAGACATTTGAAAACATTGTCCAAGAACATCTCTTCTACATTTTATCTTTTAACTATTACGTATCCCCTCTGTTTGTGTGAAAAAATATGAAGAAAAATAGGAGAGAAGATAATTTTTTTCCTATTTTAATGAAAAAAGAAAAGTGTGAAGAAAGAAACATAAGAAAAAAATAAATAGAATTAATAATTTAGACAGACCGAATTTATTTATGTCAAGCTAAATTGGGCCAAGCTTAAACTTGTAAAAAAGCTCAAATGGCTAAATTTGATTTTACCCTTTTTCAAACTTTTTCGGGTTATTCTAAATACTTGAATTGCCAATTTTTTTTTAAAAAAATTAAACCACTTCATTTTTTAACTTTAAAATAATTATTTTTAATTATGAAAAGTATAAAATACTTTTTTTTGCAATCTAAAAGTATAAAATACTCATTTGTCGGTTCTTAAAATTTAAAAACTGAAATTAAAATGCATTTTAATTTTTATATATTTTATGGATTAAAAATAATAAAAAATAACCATGTAAACATTTTTTTTACTTTTAAAAATATATATATATATATATATATATAGTAATGAGCGCAAGTCGAATACATAATCTCTTAATATAA